ATAAGATTATTTTTTATTAATCAATTTATTGAAGCTAATGAATTTTTTTTAAATTTTCAAGAAATATAAATGATATTTTATGCAAACTATTTATCTACCTACTTATAATTTTTCAAATAAAGAAAATATAATAAACAAATTTCAAATGTGTTCATTGTTATAGGTTGTAATAAAATCGTAACTAGTGTTATATTATTTACTATATGAAGCAAATTATTGTAGATTTTAAAGGTGTTAAATGTTTCCTAAGTTAGGAATCTTAAGATATCTATAATTCTATGTTCTCAAATAGAAAGTGTGCTTAACATATTTATATTAAGCACATGAAGTATTTATGTAATGGTAGTAAATAATTTAAGAACCAATGATCAAAACTAAAATTTCAGGTAATTTTCAAAAATGTAAACAATACATTTAATGATGTATACATACAAAGCACACATATCATACTAGGAGATATAACAGAAAGGTACAATATTAATAATATAAATGTAATTGACCCATTAATTATTCAGAAATTATTTTTGCCAAGACTTGTTATATTTGTGTGTTATGATTATTATGTTCTTTTTCTAGTGAATTTAAAATAGAACTAATTTTGTATTAATCATATGCTAAGAAAATAATTATTAAAGAACTAATCTGCACTATACTATGTTATTTTAACTTATATACTGATTATACAGAAAAAAAACTGTCACGTTAATAATAGTAAAAAAGAGAAAAAAAAATACTGACCTCCGGGTGTAGTTGAAAAAAGTGTTCCACCAGGGGTGGATGAATAATCAGCAGGTAATTGACTGGGATCATTGATTACGATTCGTTTTGAAGGTATATTTTGGCTTTGGGTGGCTTGCCGTGCAATTGGTGATGCAGACATACTTAATCTTACGGTTTCTTTGAAAATAAAATGAATTTTTGTTCAACCTGATTAATTTACATGAAACATAAAGATAAGATCTATAAGTGGTTCGCTACTACTGTTGACAATAAATTTTACTGCGTAATTTATGAAAAACAACGCGCTGTGGTATTCGGCTTCTAAACTTAAATATAAACAGAATCGTTAAACCAAAAATAGCAGAAAATCGGTTTTATCTGATTCTGTTGTGAATGTCATATTCATTACTTTAATTAATTCAGATATCGCACATTCGAGATAGTTTTAATTAAATATAAACAAAGTGTAACATACGTGTAACCTAAAAAATCAATCCACAACCGCACACGACAATTCACAAAGTCGCATCATGCGATAAGTAATTGTTTTATATAAGTTCACAAGTTCTCCCCACTTTTGAGATGCTACAGAAATATTACCGAAAGCGTTACCAATCATTGGCGCGAACTATCGTGTTATCATTGTACTAAATTTAAGTACGATAAATAAATGTTACAATGCAATTTAAATATTATATATTAGTAGGTTATGTATTTATAGTTTGCACAAGTAAATAATAGAAATATGATAAAAAATACTCATATTAAAACTAAATTTAAAATGATAACCCGACAGCTTTTCTGTTTATATTAATAAGTGCAATTTACTTAGAATTATTGCTTTTATTAGTACTTGTTAAATACCTCAAAACAAACTAAAATAAGTACCACATAGTTTTGTATATTTCATATTTACATTGTAGTTACTAATACGTACTTCGTTTTATAAAGTTATATTTAAAAACTTAGAATTTAGTGCATTGTTTAACTAACAGTTTTTA